TATAGGTTAAAGTAATTTTTTGTTATAAAACTAAAGTATAGAAACGCGCATAGGTGCTCCATGACAAAAGACATAACAACACAGCTGTCAAAGGATAAGTACAAACCCAAGTAGAAGTACATATGGAAGTACAAGTACAAGTACAAGCGTATTTATTTAAGTACAAGTATTCTAATGAACTTATTAGAGACAAGTGCAAGTACAAATACTTTCTTTTTAAGTACAAGTACAAAAGCAAGTATACTTGTGCATAGGCAAGTACATATAACAGTACTTGCTTTGAAGTATAAGTAAAAGTACAAACTTTCTTTTTCAAGTAAAAGTAAAATATTTTTACTTGCTATACTTGTACTTGTCCGAGCTCTGATATGACTAGAATTAAATCGGAAAAGCTTTGGTCAAACAGAATAGAACCATCATTTTTACATTAACAACTATTCAAATAAAATCAATAAGAATTTTTGTTATATACTGAAGCCTCTATTAATGAACACCTTCCAACTCTGAACATTGAACACTTTTTTCAGTCATTTCTGTAGAAAAACATCTCTCCATAATGAACATACACGAACCAACTACGCCTTCGTGTATGAAATCAGTAGATGGAAAAATAGTTTGCACATAATAAAGCAATGATAAATCAAATTTGGACGGGCGATTCGTCATAACAAACTTTTTCGTACGTATGGCAGAAACAGGACAATGACAATGAATAGTCCGCGATGGGTTAATCGATTCTGTGTGAGAGAATCACACACATTTCTCTTTCAATTGTAAAATACAATAAAACATACACTAACCTTATCTGATAAAAACAATATCTTTTTTATTTGGCACTGGTCGTAATAGATATTAATATAAAAGGTGTATAGTTATCATTCGTATATACTAACCATGTACTATATACATATGTATATATATACTTCGTTCAACGTGACACCTCTCTAAGATGAACACCTCCTTCAATGAACACGTTTTGAACAGTCCTGTTAGTGTTCATCTTTCAATGGAGGTGTTTGTACTATTCATCACGAAAACCGCTCATATTGGTATCAAATGAAAGATCTCATTGCCAAACTAACAGGATTAAAATATTAGCGGCCCATGGCTTGCCTAAAGGAAGATATTCGATTTTTCAGTGAATTTTCTCTGCAGGACCCGCTTTCCCAGCAAAGTCATATTCTCGAATTTGAACCTGAAACTTTGTATGCTTGAAGGTCTCAATGAGACTAGTTTACCAAAAAAAAATTCAGAAGTTTTGGACAAACTATATACGAGATATGAATCTCTCAAAATATTGGCGATTTTCTATANGCGATGAAAATTTTCACTGAAAAATCGAATATCTTCCTTTAGGCAAGCCATGGGCCGCTAATATTTTAATCCTGTTAGTTTGGCAATGAGACCTTTCATTTGATACCAATATGAGCGGTTTTCGTGATGAATAGTACAAACACCTCCATTGTTAGAGAGGTTTCACTGTAAATGTGTTTGACGAAATCGTTGCTGATCTATCACATCTTCAAATATTGTGAATTGACAACAGAATAATGTAGACATAATAATAAAATGGTTAACCAGTATTTTGATCCCTTAGTATTTCTATTTACGTATCACCAAAATTAATAAGAAAATTTTTACGTGTAATTTTAATTGCCAAAATTCAAGAAAAAAATGATCTGAAAGTAAAAAAGTTTAGCATCAACATTTCTTAATCATTTGATAAATTGAATAATACTTACTCGTTGTTTCAAGTAAATCATCAATAATTTCAATAAAATGTTGAATTTTATTGATTTTTTTATGGTCGATATTCAATGTTTCTGAATATGAACGTATCACTCTTTATTTCATTCTTTCATAAATATATTTATAGAAAGAGCTAGAATTCTTTTTTAAATTTGATGATTTATTATTCTCATGTAGGGTTTTAAAACGTTTTTTATGATTTAATTCTTTAAATGAAAACTTGATTAAAACCATAAGATAAGATCTAGAAAAAATTTTAAAGATTACATTAGATCATATGAGATGAAATAAAGATAACAATATATACAATCTAGTTTTGTTGACTGATGATAAGAAATAAATCTCTTGATGTATAAAAACATACATAGAAAGAATGGAGTTTCGTGTGCAATCATCGAATACCTTTAGTATTTGTTTACATGGTCAACCTATTATTTTGCATAGACCAGAACAACCGTTGTTCTATATTGGTACATGTCAATCATCATATGATATGCGTCTTGGTCATTTTGTTATCAAACACGAAATAGAAACAAAAACGAGTCTTCAAATACAAAGTATTAAAGAGATCAATCCATTACAAGTCTATGAAATTTCATTTATTGATGAAAATAAATCGTATAATCTTCAAATAAAATTTATTATAGATGTGAATGGATTACAAATCGAATTTCCTCGCACATCGACATCAAATTATATTCGATCAGTGATTGAAAGTGAAGAAATACTTGAACGTGACGAATATACATTCGATGATAGTAGCCAAATAAATTTATGGTTTTCATTAGAAGCCTTTCCGTTCAATCGGGAATCTGTACGTGGCTGTGGACTTCAATTTGCTGATGGTGATCTAAGACGAAAAATTTTATCAATATGGGTATCAGAATGGTATCATAATGAATTATATCCAAATAATGATAAACATATTCATCCTTCCGAACATACAACTTATCATCCACAACCAATGTTCCAGTCATCGCGTGGTTATACATTTTGTGCTTATGGATCGGCTTATGCACAATTTGATTTTTCTGGTGAAAATTTTCATCGCTTTCATTTTTCTGATATACCTTATCGGTTAGAGTTAAGTTTCGTTGGTCCTTCTCCAACGTCTCGTGTATATTTACCATTACCAGAATGGTTACACGATGGAATTATTTTAAGCGTACAAGGTGGTACCGATATTATTGATCAAAAACTTCGTAAAATGCATCAATGTAAAACACGTATTGCCGGTATTTGGGCACAAGATTGGTGTGGAAAACGAATAACATCGTTTGGCAAACGAGTATTTTGGAATTGGAAATGGGATGAAAATTGGTATCCTAATTTAACTGAAAAAATTATTGAATGGAAACAGAACTATAATGGTTGCCGATTTTTAGCTTATATTAATCCATATATTGCTGTTGACGGATCATTGTTTGAACAAGCAAATCAAAACGATTTCCTTGTCAAACGATATGACTCGAAAAAAACAGTTTATTTGATAGATTTTGGAGAATTTAATGGAGCTATCGTTGATTTAACTAATCCACAAGCATTCGAATGGTATAAGAATGTAATAAGAACAAATCTAATTGATTTAGGTATATCTGGTTGGATGGCTGATTTTGGTGAATATCTTCCATGTGATGTTCGTCTTCATGTTAATATTTCCGGTGCATTGATACATAATCTTTGGCCAATACTTTGGGCACGATGCAATTATGAAGCAATCCGTGATGCTGGAAAACTTGATCAAATTATCTTTTTCATGCGTAGTGGATATTTAAATGTGCAAAGGTTTTGTCCACTCTTTTGGACTGGTGATCAATCAGTTAGTTTTTCTTCCGATGCGGGTCTTGCTGCTGGAATTCGTTCATGTCTTTCATTATCACTAAGCAATGTACTTAGTATTCATACAGACATTGGAGGATATTTCGGTCGAACAATTGGTCGTACTCGTGAAGTTCTTTTACGTTGGTGTGAAATGGCAACATTCAATATTGTTATGCGCACACATGAAGGTAATCGACCTTGTTCAAATGCACAATTCGATAATGATGAAATATGTCTTGCATTTTTTGCTCGAATGAGTCGAATCCATGCTCATTTAAAACCTTATTCTCGCCAAGTTGTTCAAAAAGCGTATGAACAAAATAAATCTTGTCTAATTCCTCATATAGAATTACAATATTTCTTCGGACCTGATCTTCTCATTGCTCCTGTTGTTAAAAGCGAAGTCGATAAATGGAAAGTATCAATGCCAGATGGAGAATGGGTACATATTTGGACAAATAAAATATATGATAAAAATCAATATGAAATCGATGCACCCATTGGTAAGCCACCTGTTTTCTATCGGTCCACAAGTGAATGGAAATCACTTTTTGAACAATTACAATATTTTTAAAGATTTTCTATTCTGAACATCTTTTCTTCTAGTAATCATTAATGATTGAATTGAATTTTAAATGATTTTTATTATTATTAAATATTGAACATCTTCATATGATAGTAAAAGTCAGTGTGTCTTTTTAACAGACAGTTTTCTTGTTGATATTAGTTTTGTACAAAGATTAGAGGCTAGTTAAATTTTTTTCAATTCTTTTATATTTCATGGGAAAATCGAAGACTTCGATATTAAATAAAATCAATAATGTTGAATATTATTATCGAGAAATTATTTGTTTAGTTCCACATTTTTTTTCTCTAAATTCTATTAATATTTCTCCTTTTTCGATTGAATGACTATTTTCATGTATAGTGATTAATAGTGAAAATTCTTTCTCACTTAACGATAACTGTGTTTTCTAAGAACTGTCTCACTGTTATTTGTATTAATCTTTCATTTAGTATTTTATTATGAAGGTTCTGTTTTGAATTTGAATTTATCACATTACAAATATTTCAGAATATTGTTCAGACGAAAAATTTTCAGTTTGATTTACTTACATGATTTTAATTATTTATTAGAAATAAAAATAAAAAAGTCCCTCAGGAACATGTGATAACAAATAAATGAAGATCAGATGCTTAATGTCTAGTTACAATCAAGTCTATTTTAATTAGAATGAAATAAATTCCAATAGATGTTATTTGTTTTTTAGTTCCATTGAATGGTTTCTATATTTTTTATTAATTTTTCATCAAATACTTAATTATATTATTTTTGACAAGTGTAAACTGAAAATTTGCTGAAATATATTTCAGAATTTAGATATAAATACGAATAAGTTTGATTAATTTTTGTCATGAATGGACAGAGTAAAAACGAAAATTTATTTTATTTTTGAAAACTTTTGTTATACGTGAATAAATGACAAAAAAAAACGAAAACAAAGCGAAGATGATATTTAAAGGGTAAATTACTATATAACTCAATAATGACAGCTAAGCAGGCAGCCCAATAAATTTTCATTTTTATGTTTTCCTCTTCATGGAGAAACAAATTTTTCTTTGTGTAAACAAATAATTATTTACAAATGAAAAAGAAAACGACTCAGAATACATTTACAATGTTAAAATAAAAACACAACGAATTTGTTTTATCGTTTTGTTTTAGTTGATCGTTGTTGATCAGATTTAAATCGTTTATAGTCCATATCAGTACTGTTTCGAGAATAACTATCTTGATGATCACGCTATTAATAAAATAAACAAGTAAATATTTAAAAAATTAGCTGCTAATGAATTACGTGTGATAATGAATAATTATTATGATTTGTTGAAAATAATAGATGATTATTTGATCCAGTTGAAGAATAAATATTTGGACGAGTTAAATTATCAATGGTTATTAAACCATAATTAATTAATGTTGTGATGGATGGAACTATTTCTCTTATTTGTGGATCAACAAACCCAAGTGATTGTAATGAGTGCTTTAAAAAAAATAGCTCGTCTTTTAAATATTTTTCGTTAAGGAAATATTCTTACAACAAGTGAATCGACTGTAATATGATTTGTTCCACCAGAATTAATTATTAATTGTGATAATCTTTGCAAACCACTTAATTGTATTGACATATTTGATGAAGAATTCATTGATATCAAACCATTCATTTTTCCATCTAATAAATCGTTGTCAAATTAAATCTCTTTTTAAAATTTTTTAATAAACATAAATTAAAATGGCGAAAACAAAAATAAAATGATGATTTCTCGTTTAATTCATAGAACTGAATTTTCTAATAAAAATCTTCTATGTAGTTGGTTTTGATCAAAATATTCGAAAGGAAACCGATCGCAATCGTTTGTTGAAGCGTCTTAGGAATTATTTCAAAGTTTACCTTGAAAAAATTATCTGGAAACTATCGGCAATTCTATTAGATAACTTTTGAATACTTTCTTGAAAAGTCTCATTTGTCAGGTCGAGTATTTGAAAATTCATTTTATGTTAATTATATCACATCTAGTTCATATTGAAAAAATATTCTTCTCGTGTTTCGAATAAAGAAAACAATTGATTTTTTGAAAAAATTCTCTCAACATGTTTTCTATTCGTAATAATCATTGACTTTACAGGGAAATTTAATTTTGATTCAATTGAATTTCAAAGATTAAAAATACTAATAAAAAGAAAGAAAACAAAATTGAATACATACGATCATGAAATGGTTGAATATCATTCATAATTGATAAGGAGTTCATCGATGCAGCTTTATCATTTGAATAATTAACGCTTGGTACACTATCATGATGAGGATCTTCTAAAATTTTTTCTAAGACAATTTCCAAAGCTTTTAGTCGAATTTCATCTTCACCTTAAAAATGAAAATTAAATTAAATTAATAAACACAAAACTCCACGAAGAAAAATATACCCGTGATAGTCATAACCCTTTCTTGCATATCAGATTTTGGTGTAATTGTAAGTAAAGCATTTGTATCATGTTTTATAGTTTCAATAGTTGAACCACCTTTTCCAATGATAACTCCAGCTGTAGCATTTGGAATAATTAGTTTAATTTGTCGTGATCGAATAAGATCACCTGGAAAACTTTCTTTTATTTTATCAGATAGAAATTCATAAACAGATAAAACATTTGAAACAATTCCAACAACAAGACAAACACGTTCTTGTGTCCCAGGAAAATAATCCTATTATTTTTTTAAAGTGAATTATATTTTAATTTTTAATTTTTAAAAATTTCTTAACAGACAACTTACTCCTGCTTTCGACATTTTCATTTTTGTACTTGTTTCTTTTTGTAATGAAGCGATTCTTTCTCCACCTTTTCCAATTACACTTCCTGTTGTTGTTCCAGGTAAAAGAAATTTTATATGAACTATATTTTCATTCGAATCATTTAATTGATTATTCGATGGATCTTTATCATCAAAATCTTGTCGATTAAAATTATGTTGACGATTATTACGAGATGAACTTGATGATGATGACATTTTATTAATTATTTACTGATTATTTAATGTTACAAATAAATAATACAAATGAAATATTACTACTCTCTGTTCTTGTTCTTTCTAACTTATGACATTATACAATGATAGTTTAACAATGAGCACCTCTATAGATAATATATTAGTTACAGTTTATAGATGACGCTAAACACTGAAGTATTTATATCATAGGACAACTATATATATATTATATAATTCCAAAGACAAAAACTATCATATTAGACGAGTAGCTGTCTAATTCGAGTTCGAATATAAATGGAGAAAAGAAGAAATTAAACTAGAACTAAATCTAGGAATACATTTAGTTTTAGTTTAACTTTCCGATATATACGACATATGAATACATATATACCCCTACAACCACATTTGAAGTACTCAGATACCCCTGCACCCCTTCAGGGTATCCCTCCTACCCACCTTCTCACCCGTACCGCCACCAACAGTTACCCCTTAGTCCCCCTCAGCCCACACCCACTCCATCTTAAACTAACACTAAATCTATTTCGATCACTTATTTTCGAATTGATACCATGCAGTTGGATGTCATTTATATACGAATTCGAACTAGGCATCTCATGATGATTTTATTATTTTTATCAAAAACACAACAATGTACATTATATCTATTTGTGCATTTATATATGGAGATCTATATTTTTATATTCCTGTTCAATTACTCGTCAATTGAAGAATATAAAATTTATCTAGTACCATCATTTTAATTTAGTTTCAAATCATCTATAATACTTTTGCATAGATAGTTCTGTCGACGCTGATTTTTTAATGAATAAAAAATTCTCAATAGAAAATATTTTACTTCTATTATGTTAATAGTTTAACTTCGAGTAATGAAAACAACTTTTAAACTTGTTCTCATAGTCAACCTTATTTTTTTCTATCGATTATCGTTTGGAAATTTTCATCAAAACAATTAATTACTTGTTGAACCCTTTGAAAAATGATCATTTTTGAGCTCATATCCACTAAATGAATATTTCTTATATTGTTTCAATAATAGTTTAGAGCGCACATCTATTAATATTGTTGAATAAGATAAAAAATAGAATATGCAACAGATATTCATTTTTTTCTAATTAATGAGGTGAGAGGCACAGCATTCTTGTAGTCCGTCGCGTGTTTTCTTTTACTTTTGCTTTCTCGATGTACGCATCTTTTTCATCATTTTGTGACCCGATGATCTCGAGTGCCGAAAATCATAGAAAACTCATTGAAACGTGAGATAAAAGTATCAAGATCGAACTTCTGGCATAATTTTTCTATTCTTTAATCTGATATTCTGTTCACTCACAAATGTGGTTCCAAAATGACGAAAATGAAAGAAATTTGCTGCGAGATAATTAAAGTGACGTCATGAACATACGTTAGTCACTATAGTCTATTCATTTACAGCTGATCTAAGATAATGAATCATGGAGATAATTAATCAATCAATCGAAATCGACCCTTAAGAATGTATTGCTAAGTAAGGATAGAGTTTTCTCAGTGATGAATTTCATCATGTCGACATAAAAAGTATTCAAGATCTGAATTGAAGATTTTTCGCGAAGATCCAATTCGAGTGAAACTTGAATACCATCTAGTTCTTTCTAACTTGAGTACGCATAAAAAAGTCTCATTAAGTGACGCGATGATCTACAGAACCGTAAATGATAGAAAACCCATTCAAACTAGATATAACAGTTTCAAGATCGAACTTGTTACATCGTTTTTCAAATTTTCAATACTAAGTTTCGTTCGCCTAAAGATATCATTCAAAAATGATGATTTTGTATGGTTTTTATCGTTAGAGAGTTTCGAGATAATTAAAATGATGTCATCAAGCAATAGTAGCCAATAGTCTATTGCTTTACATATGATTCAGGACAATGATTCATGAAAGTAGATAATCGTTCAATGAAAAAACTCGTTAGAAAACTGGTTGTTACATTTTCAAAGAGATCTCCTAGTGATGAATTTCATAATGGTCGATTTAAGAATGGCGAATGCGAAACATAAATTCAAAATTCGTAGACATTAAGAAAAAACGATTCTAATGAACTCTGAAATTGATGATTCGTTTTTTATCTTATTCACCATGTTTTCGAAAATCTGGCCCGTGTGCTTCGCACCGCATTTCGTAGTCGAGTGGAACTCGAATACCATCTAGTTTTCTTTGTAATATGGAAATCTCATGGTTTATTTCTCGCTCACATCAAATTATAATCTTAAGTAGGATTCATCTCATTCTTTTTTTTCTATAAATTATACGAATTAGTTATAAATGCTTCAAATTCAACTCTAATTGATCATGTTATTCAAATACTCAAATATCAACTTGGTTTCATTTTTCAATTGATTAAATAAGAGAACCATTTAACTTCAGGAATGTTTTCAATTTATTCAAATTACTTTTAATTTGAAATCTTAAAAGCTACAAGACAATTTATAGAATTAACTAAAAAGAGATGAACTAGAAATAATGAAAAGAATTTATCTCTTGGTATAAATACTTAATTCTTTATTAATATTTATCATTAACTTAAATAAAAAATTAACAACAGTTATTTCTTTGAAAGATTCCATGCATATTCAATAAAATATTATTCATTTTATATTAACTTAGATAAATCTTTAATAGTCACAGAACGTATTTTCATTCTTTTCCTATTAAAAATTTCTTTTTGTTTTCAGAAATTCGAACAAAAAACGTAGACTTTCTTGTGCGAATTCAGATTCACTCTAAATTAATTTATTTTTAATAAACTATTATCGATACATGTGTAAGTGATTCTATGGCATAAATAAATAAATAGTTTCTATAAAGCAAATTCTTTGAAAATATCATTTCATACGAAATCAATTTATGCAAAGATCTGAAAAGTAAAATTTTCATCCAATTATCATATCGTATTGTTTTAAAATTTCTTGGTAATATGTTTTCCATTCACTAGCTATATAAAGAATGACGTAGAAAATGTATGTGAGTTGTTCTGATGCGTGTTTTGTTTCTAGTCTTCGTTAAAATAAAATCTACTATATAGTTATATGTATATGAGAAAGAACCTTTTGAATTCTTTCTAATGATTTCATAATATGTTTAATCAAAGAAAGAAATTATGATAGAAAATGAATATTCAGGAATAGCATTTATCGATTTAATAAATCCAATAGAATATATAGTTAAAAAATTATCTAATGATAAAATGATATCTCAATGAAACACAACATATGATATTGATTTGATCTACGTAGAATAGATTAAAAGAAAAGCACACTTTAGAGTTTGTTTTCATAATTATATAAAGAGTTAAATCGAAAGTTTGCAAAAAAAAGTATTCATCACATTATTTATAAAAAATTTCGATTGAATTTCTATTGAATGATTCGTTAGTTGCATTTGTGAAAGATCACAATTGAAGGAAGGAAACACTTTAAAATAAATAAGGAAATATTTTACGTTTGATTTGTACGAGAAATTGTTTGCTTATTAATTGAAGATTATCCTACTTGATTTATTTTATTTTATCTTAATTATTTCGTGAGACAATGAAATTTTGTTAGTTAATGCAATCAATTGAATACGTGTTCTTGTTTATTGAAATATGTATTTGTACATCGCTCTGATTATAACAATAATCGAATTCTAGTACGAAGAATTTTTTTCTAAATAAAAATTAATATTTGCTGTTGTCTGTACTTGTAAAGATGCGTATATAATAATCTAATAATAAAACTAACAGAAAAAGGTTCCTATGATAGAAATCAAGATAAAAAAGGATTGATCTATTTTTGTTAATATTTCATTTCAATGAGCATAGTTTATATGGACGTTTATTATGTATATAATATATTAGTTTTGTTCTATTTATCCGAATCCGATCAATGCATAAACATTAGGAAATATTTTTCTTTGATGATTTCTATTCAGATAAAATCAATTCTATCAATTCTTTCTAATAACAATGTAATTTATATGCAGAGACCTTATTTGTTCAAATTAATGAATTTTTGTTTTATTTGAAATAAGTAAAGAAACCTTTGAAGGCAATTTTATCATTGGTTCTCTTCAGTTATTCAAGATAGATATATATACATTATAACAAATAGAAGTTTTTTTTTGGAAAATTTTCAGATGAATTGGAAGAAATTTTCAATGTTATAAATGTCGTTTTAAATCTTAAGTATTCGATTCTATTGTAATCATGTGATTAAATTGATTTACATTAAAAAGATGCAAGAGTTTGTCGTACATCATTGTTTCTACGTTTTTCTTTTTCAGTCTCTTTTAACTTGTTTGCATACATAAGAGCATAAGAAGGACAAGAGAGAACACTTTATTAATACTAAGAAGAAAAAGCAAAAGAAGTAGATTTCAAATTCAACGAGAACACATCGATGAGTGATCCATTGTAAGTTTTATCTTCTTTCTTTTAATTTAATTTAATTTAATTTATAAATGAAGAACCTACGATAGTTTTCAAGATCCACATTTACAAAATTATTTTCAAAATAAAAATATTCGAAAGCATCTTAGAAAAACTGGATTAGTATATTTAATTTATTCGAGAATTCGCTTTAATTTTGATAAAAAAATATTTATTTTTCAATAGATAAATCGATATAATGAAATAATTCCCTATAAAGAATATCAAGCAACAGTTAATCAACGTTCTCGACAAGAACATATTCGAGCTTTGTTATCACATGGAGTTGTTCAACGGTACACTTTTCTTTTTCTTGTGAAATTATTTTTATTGAATCATTTTTATACAGTGTTATTGACTTAGAAAGGTCTCGACAAGCAAATATACGAAATCAATTTGAAGCTACTGCCAAAAGAATGCTTGTTGAAAATATAAAAGTTTGGTCAAAAATTAATCAAAAAAAGAAAGAAAGATATTTTTTACTAATCATAAAATTAGGAATCAAAACAACCATATCGACAATTGCCATCCAAAGATTTTCATTTATTAAATCGACCTAAAACTAGTTTTTCAAATACTACTTTTCAAATTTATCAACAACAAGTTCGATAGTTAAATTGAATTGATTTAGGTTAAAAAAGTATTCTGTTCTTAATAGATAAAAGCAGTTGATGAAAACAAAAAAAGTCCATCACGTGTTTCATTTGTTTATCCAACACGTTTATCCCCAAGAACAAGTATTTCTACAAGAGCCAAAACTACAAAGGTAATATTCTTATAATTATCTATCATCAATATATATATATCTTTAAAATGTTTTTAGATAATAAAATCTAATGTAAATTTAAAAAATCATTCTCAAATAACAATGGTTTACTTGGGTTCACAAACTCATATCGATTATGATCAATCATTACAACAACAAAATAGTTCGGAAATTATTGTTATGCAACAACATTGCGGAGGAGAAAACCTTATTCTATTTAAAAAGAATCTTCAACAAAATGGTTTATCACTAAATAAAAAATGATTTAATTAAAACAAGACATTTTTTTTATTCTTAGAAAAATTTACATTTGAATCTCGACGTCATTTCGCATATCCATTTGCATTAAGTTTATATGTCAATGGTTTAATTGATTGTCGTATATCAGTGTGCTGTGAATACAAACATAAGATCGGTTTACCATTAGGTGGGAAACGTGCTTCATTTGCTATTTTGAATGTTCAAGGTGGAAAACCTTGTCAAACGTTTGTTATTGTTTATTTCCATTTTGTTTTATCTGAAAAAGAAATCATTTTATTTAATTAACAAAATAGATGTCGATTCAATGAATATATGTCTAATTCGCTATTATCGAAACATAAAACATATGATAAAAGTTCGGTAAGAATATTTCATTGTTGAAATATTTCATTGCATGAATTATCTTTTAAAGGTAACTACTGATAAATCAAAAAATGAACCAATTTATGAAATCAATCCAGAACGTTTATTATGTACACCAACACCATGTGGTATTTAGTATTAAGAAAGAAAAGAAAGCAACGAATTGTTGTGTTTTTTAATGTTGTTTAGATGAACGTGAAAATGAGACAACGAATTCAAATGAAAGTGGTTCGTAGAATAAATCTAGAGAATATATTTTTTTAAAACTATGCTAAATTTCATCATAGGAGTGGCACTTTAACTTTACTTTAACCGTAAAGTTTAAAGTTTAAAATTGTTTAAAGTCGCCTTTAAACGCTTCTTTTTAATATTTTTCACTGTACTGACATATTTAGTCATGCTTATGAGACTCTGCAACAGATAAAACGCCAAAAAGAAGCATTTAAGCATGACTTTAAATAACTTTAAACTCTGCACTTTACGGTCAATTTAAAATTAAAGTGCCACCCCTATTTCATCAGTAGATTAATTAGGATTCTTTTTTCTCGGTTCGTTTTAAATACTTTCAAAGTAATCATCTTTAGTTCTATTTACCTTATTAAGGATGATTATTATAGAAAACGCCTATCCGATAGTCAATTCTTTAGTTTTCATTTCGACTCTTCGGTTTCGACATATTCTATTCTTCTTTTCTATTTCTAATAGAACATTTGAATTTTTAAATAATATCATTAGAACATTTCATCTTCTTCGATGAAGGATTTTGATTAAAAAAATTCATTTTTGTAGATATTAATTATTTTCCTATCGATTGCTATAAAAATATAATGAAAAGATTAGACTATACGTTCGAATTTCATTCAAGGAAGATTTGATAAAGAGCGAGTCATCTGTATATAACATTCGGTCTCGATGAATTATCATATATGTAATGAATTGTTAAAAAATTCGAAAGAAATAGATTCAAATATTGTAACATATTCGAATATACACAAGAAATATTAAATAAAGTATTTTTTGTCTCATTTTCTGTAAATAGAATTCGACGAGTGACAAATCGCAAGTCTGAAAAGAAAATTGATTGTTGCTGAAAATTTACGAAAAAAACTTTTTCTTCTCTTAAGAACTCAGCATAAACTTATATTTATCAATTATTGTTTATATGACTAATTTTCAATTATTCATTGCGATTTTTATTTCGAAGATATTTCAATTTGGAAGTTTGCTTGAATTGTTCTTTTATATTTTATTTTATTTTCGTTGATATAGATGAATATCGTCAAGCTGAACAAATTTATGAAAATCTCCTTATGAAAATAAATGATAATCTTAATTGGAAAGAAAATAGTCGTTTTCAATGGCAATTAGCTAATATATGCAAAGAAGGACTTGGCGATTATGATCGAGCTCTTGATCATTATTTAATATCTCTTGAAACATTGTGTCAATATATATCGCCATTAGATCTTAAACTTCGAAATTTATATTTAAGTATTGGCCATATTTTTCTTTTACAAGGAAAATTGAAAAATCATTTAGCAATTGATTATTTTCAACGTGTTTTAAATATTGATTATTCAACAAATAATAAAACTTCTAAAACTTATCTTATAACTGATCATAATTATCTTGGATTATTATATCAAAGCGAAGAAAATTTTTCTCAGGCTTTATTTCATTTCAAAAAAGCTTTAAAATATATTTTATTAATTAAATCAACAGAAACTTTTAATTCAATTCCAATTTCAAATTCGAATGAAAATGATTATTTAATTAATCGAACAATTTACGATAGAAAAGCTCTAGAAGCTTTATCAATAAATAATTTAGCAAACATATCAGAGATTCATTTTAATTTAGCAATAACATATCAAAATCTTGGACAAAAACAAAATGCATTTAAACATACAGAAAAAGCACTTCAATTATCAACAGATGATCAAAAGAAATTTAATATTTATCAAAATTATTTTAATAAGCTGCAACAGATTTAATTAGTATTAAAATCTTTTACTCTTAATCAATTTATTAATCTATTATTTGTTTGTTGGCTTTTCATTCTCAAAAAGATGACATCTTAAAACTAATTCTTTTTTTAAATTATAACATTTTGGTTTTTTGAAAGAAAAAAAAGGAGTTTTTCTTATCTTAATATTACATTGTCGCATTTTTTAATTAACTGATTGGTTTCTTTTAGACAAACATTCGAATTGAAGAAAAAATAATTGTTCTTAAACAGATTGAATCGAAATATTCAATCATGTGTTACTGAATTGATGAGTAAAATATGAAAGTTAATCCAGTCGACTAGATTTGTTTACATTTTTTTTTTATTTGAAATTATTATATTAGCAGTAAATATTAATATTGATAATTTAATGCATAGAAAAAAATTTGAAATTATTTCCTTTCAATAAAAAATGTTAAATGCATAATTTGATTGTTTTCTTTCTTTTTGTTGTATAATACTCGTCAGAGGACTGATACAAGCTGCGTAGATATTTCTTGAATAATTATTAGTGATGATTCATTTAATATGCTTGATTGATCATGTGAAACGCATTTATTTAGAAAAACATCTTGCTCTTCTTCATCAGTAGTATTCATAATAAAAATCGAAGCATTTGTTTTAAGTAAAACCTTGTGATGAAACGTTTAGAGCGTTTAGGAAGCGTTGTTTTTTTCGCAGTAACAGTAAGTTTAGTGTTTCATCTAATAGCAATGTCATTCAAAAGTTGGAAAGTTATAAAATGTCGTACATGTCCTGATAGCGATGCATTAGCAACATGGACTTCATCAATCGATGAACGTTGTTATGCTTCATCGATGGCATCAATATTTTTTCCACAAGATCAGTTGAATAAAAGTGCTATTACTAATTCATTTATAACAACAATTTGCCTTCCAAATCAGTATATTATGAACAACGAGGTAAAATACGCAAATTATTGCCTGGATATAGCTCTTAATAGATCAGATACAGCCTGTTCAGTTAGAACTTACAATCCTGACTATTGTCACTGCGAGTAAGTTTTAATAAACAAAAAACTTTATTGAAGTACTCTACTGCAAAATCTATTAAATATTATAGTTATACTGCTTCAACTAAAGCAATTGTAGCTACGACAATTTTATCAGCATTATCACTTGGAATATTATTGTTTTTAACACATTTCGTAGCTCTTGTGAATATAGATTATGTATTACGATGGCTAATTCCACTCTGTTTTGGTCTTATGATTTTCTCTATTATATTTATGATTGCAACTTTAAGTATTGCTGGTGCAAGTCTAGGTGAAGATCTTGAAGAACTTCGTTATCAATGGTCTTTATTTAAACAAGCCTATCCTGAGAGTATGATTAAACTAAAGAATATTTTATATACGTAGATACGAATTGATTTATATATTTCATTTTTTGTTTTGTTAGAGACATTGATTGATGCGTGGCAACAAGAATTGAACAATCTAACGCGTATTAACTATAGTGTCTCAATTGGATGGTGTTTTGGAATGGAAATTGTATCACTTTACTTTGCTCTTATTGCATTAGTTGTTTATGCTCTTATATTTCAAGCAAAGAAACGACCTGAACCAAAGAACAAATAATAAAATAAACATAAAATCGAAAGTCTTTCGTAATTAATTATTTTATTTTTGTCTCATTAGATACACGTTCAAAATAAAAAGTCACTATAAAAGATGAAAGAAAATCAATTCATATAATAAAATTCTACTCTAGAAACTCTGATAGGTCATAAAATCAATTCAATTATTATCGCCAAAAATTCAACTAATGATAGCGAAAGATTCAATTATTATTTTATATTCATTTATTTTTTGAGAACTGTTTACAAGTCAAGTAATATTATCTCAACATAAGAAATATCTCGAAAATATGGCAATCGTATTTTAGAAGTCTTACGATCACAATAAAATTTTCATCATAAAGTTTTGAATAGAATGAGTTCAAAATTGATTTCAATTGAAAAATTCATATTATTGAAATTTAAGCCACTATTGGTTATATGTCATCTCGCTAAAATCCATCCGAGATATTTATCGAAAACAATAACATTCAAATAGCATCATTAAGAGATTATAGATTGTCCCGTATTGATCAGTATTAAGGTTCAGGTGATGATTTTCAAACAAATTCTTCAATTATAGAGAATAAAAATAAACTGAATGAAATCATTATAAGAAATGTTGTAAAATATGTTAAGTACCGAACAGAGACGTGCACAGGACATACTTTTTTCTTTTGTCTTTGCCTGTCCTGTTGCCCACCTTGGTCCTGGCGGGTGGCAGGACAGGACAAAATCTAAATATCATCCTGTCCGATAGAACAGGGCAGGACAGGACACCAGAACAGCAGGACCGTCCTGCCCTGTGCACGTCTCTAGTACCGAAATATGAAATTCAATTGATTACTTCATTGAATCAAACAAAAAATTATTGGCATATATCATTAAAAAATCGAAGGAAGTTTTATTATGACATAAATTAGGTGAATCTATCTATTGACAAAAAAATACAATAGTAATAAAACGAATTCTTTTTTTAATATTTGATCAAAATTTCAAAAAAGAAAACTTTTTCTTAATTAGTTAGATTTTAATGGATTTATAACGAAAAATTCTAATAAAAAGAAAAAGTAGAGTAAGTGTAAAATGAAGAATAGTGTGCCTTAGAATAATTGCGATAACTTTTTTAGTTTTCACTTAACAAAAACGTTTTGGTCACAAGGCACCTAGCTATGATGACACTCTATGCATAGGTGCAAAATCAACTGAAAATCCTGTACGTAGAGCTATCTGCAGGGTATTCTTTGATCATCATTTTTCGTGTTTACATTCACCCCAACGGGGGTGAATGTATAATCATACTTGCATCACTGGGGTGAATGTATAATCCCTGCTATTTTATATGTGTTCTGTAAAACACAATTTTTGAGAGATTGATGCTTCATTTGTGTGTGTTTCTTTTCATCAATCGATAGCTCAAACTCTTCCCTATCACTCTAAACTAATCTTAACTCTATAAGTCAAAATCAAACTTTTTTTTAGAAAACTCGCAAACAGAGCTCCAAAAACAAATTTCGTAAAATATCGCAAATATTCACTCCATATGGGGTGATTGTATAATCACGCTAGTGTCACTGGGGTAAATGTATAATCGCAGCAAATTTTGCTGGACACACTAAAACTCAACTTTCATCAGACTCATTAGGAATTATGAGGTGTTCTCAGCAGAAAAATAGTTCAGAACGATGAGCTTATTAATTTGGAACCATTTCAAAAATTAATTTCATGGTTTTTATGTATATTTTCTTTGTTATACGGGAGTGAAACATCAAACTACACCATAAAATAGCTATTTTTCAAGGGAATTTCGCCAAGCCTGAGATTTACTTAATATTTTCTTCTCTTTAAAAGAAATTAAGAGTCGTATTATCTGCTCTGCAACATTTTATAGTCAGTTTACCCTGTAAAAATAGTTGAACAGAGACGCCTAGGGTTAATTTTTCAGTAGATCATTGGGTTATTATGTAATAAGTAAGGGTATGATTATTTNGAAAGCTATAGAAAATAATCATACCCTTACTTATTACATAATAACCCAATGATCTACTGAAAAATTAACCCTAGGCGTCTCTGTTCAACTATTTTTACAGGGTAAACTGACTATAAAATGTTGCAGAGCAGATAATACGACTCTTAATTTCTTTTAAAGAGAAGAAAATATTAAGTAAATCTCAGGCTTGGCGAAATTCCCTTGAAAAATAGCTATTTTATGGTGTAGTTTGATGTTTCACTCCCGTATAACAAAGAAAATATACATAAAAACCATGAAATTAATTTTTGAAATGGTTCCAAATTAATAAGCTCATCGTTCTGAACTATTTTTCTGCTGAGAACACCTCATAATTCCTAATGAGTCTGATGAAAGTTGAGTTTTAGTGTGTCCAGCAAAATTTGCTGCGATTATACATTTACCCCAGTGACACTAGCGTGATTATACAATCACCCCATATGGAGTGAATATTTGCGATATTTTACGAAATTTGTTTTTGGAGCTCTGTTTGCGAGTTTTCTAAAAAAAAGTTTGATTTTGACTTATAGAGTTAAGATTAGTTTAGAGTGATAGGGAAGAGTTTGAGCTATCGATTGATGAAAAGAAACACACACAAATGAAGCATCAATCTCTCAAAAATTGTGTTTTACAGAACACATATAAAATAGCAGGGATTATACATTCACCCCAGTGATGCAAGTATGATTATACATTCACCCCCGTTGGGGTGAATGTAAACACGAAAAATGATGATCAAAGAATACCCTGCAGATAGCTCTACGTACAGGATTTTCAGTTGATTTTGCACTTATGCATAGAGTGTCATCATAGCTAGGTGCCTTGTGACCAAAACGTTTTTGTTAAGTGAAAACTAAAAAAGTTATCGCAATTATTCTAAGGCACACTATTCTTCATTTTACACTTACCCCACTTACTCTAGGAAAGGAAAATGATTCATAGCATTCTTTGATTGTGTTTTGTAAATAAAAAGAATCAATAAATAACAAATGTTGAGTGACTGAGAAAAAGAATTCCTTGCTAATATCTTTCTTTATTTTTGATCATAATGATTTGAAATTCTTCTCAAAAGATTTCTCATGAAAAACTCTCCAAAATCTTATGTTTTAGTTAAGCTATTCGTTTTCTTTCAGTTCGAGCTAAATGAAGTGATTTAAATTATAATAGTTGATATAACGAGGAGATTTACGCGAGAAATCCTTTGAGAAGAATTTCAAATTATTACGATCAAAACTAAAGGAAGATATTCATGAAGAATTTCTTTTCTCAGTCACCTAATTTTATTAAATATGAGCAAGTGAACTTTTTCTTTGCTATTTATCAAAGAAAATATGACTTTCGAGAAAAATATTTTTAAATCAAAAATGATATTTTTAAAAAAGTATATTTTTCATCTTACAAATATAATTAATGATGATTTCATGATTGAAAATGGTTATTAATATTAAACGGGTCAATTACTATTTCGAAAAAATGCAATCCATTATAAGTTTAAAAAAAAATAGCATTCGAATTTTGAATACGGGCATTTATCTCATTGGAAAGATATTCTTCAAAATAAATTCTTTATTAGTCACAACAAAAAATGAATAGGAAAACATAAAAGAAACAAACGATAATAATTCATTTAATGAAATTTCTATCATTTATTAATCTTTTCTAATATTAATAGAGCTCCAACTTTTAAATCATTGATTATTTTCATGATTTATATCTATAACTAGTTATGGATTTTATATTCTCTTCAAACTTTATTATTGAAGCATTGTTTTTTTTTCTTTTTAAATATAAAATATTTCTGAGAAAAATCAATTTATCTTTATATAAATTTAATTTGAAAGTTTTCGATAGATTATAAAAACTATGAAACGCTTGCATCTATAAGATTCACATAAAATTTCTCACATCACATATTTTCTTATTTTCTGTGAATTAGTCTCCATGAGAAATGACATGCTATCGAAGGAATGTTAATCATCGATGAGAAACTATTTTTCTCTTGTCCAGAAATTCTAATTGATGAAAAAAATCGTGTTATATAAGTTTTTTATCAGTCAAAGAAATCATCTATTTATGCTGAAAATGATAAGATTTTGAAAATATTTTGCAGAGAAAAATATGACTTATTTTTTAACTTAACAAATCATATTGATGAGATTTGACAAATAAATAAATTTATCAGCTTTTAAATATTATTCAAGTTTGATTAAAAGGCGAATCTTTTGCGATGTTCATAAATATTCGACTAAATTATTATAATTACAAAGAATTTAATTAGCAGTGAAACATTGAGTTTATTAAATAGGATAAGGTGTTTTTATCATTTTGACAGCACAGTTTTCTATTAAGATTGCACTATGTTTCTTTTTATCTAAATTTGATGATACTAAACAAAGAACAATCTTCAACAACTTGTTATTCATCAGTCTTCGATGTGAATCTTTATGAGAACTCTACTACAAGAGGGAGAAGCATAACAGCACAGTCTCTTTCAACGACCTGTAACTTGATGTTAGTTTCTGTAATGGAGTTAACCTTGTATTTTTTTAGTATTCTGTGATGAAAACATGAAAGTAATACTAACGACTTAATTAGTATAATCTTTCAATAAGTGAAATGATTAATTTATCAATGTTTATAACGTAGAAGATGATCCACAAAAATCTTGCTTTTAAACTTACTCTTGGAATTTTCCGCAAAAATATATTTGAGTTTCATAAAATAGGAAAATTGTTGTTTACATAAATATGAAACAAAAGACAACATTGTTTATCATGTTCAAAAAAATTGATATACTGTCAAAACTATCTTGATGTACTAAATGTATTAATGAAATCAGTTTGATAAATTACAGTTGAATATATTTGACTTGATGTAGGCAAAAAAGTTGTCTAATTAAAATTAGGCAATATGATCTTGGAGTACGAAGAATTGAACCATGAATTTAATAAATATTTTGAAAAATTGTCATTCTAGAATTAAATATCAAAATTGAGATTGAATCATAGAAATCT